CATATATATATATATATATATATATATATATATATATATATATATATATATATATATATACTAATTTCCACTGAGTTTTTCCCATATATATTGAAATTCCATGTTAAATGCTAAAATAAATACATTAATAGCGTTACATCAAAACTTGCCTAATGATAATTCAACAGCTGTTTGTTCAGAAAGCTCAACATCCTTATAGTTCCTGGTAAGAACTTTCCAGAAAGTTCAGCAAAATGTAACTGGAAAAGAAAAATTGTTTGCAGTGATAACCTCATTTATAGCACGTCATTCAATATTAACGGAAACACAGTGAAGAGGTAAACACAAACTTTAACAAGCACCCGACTTTGTTTTACGTGGGCAGAGAATCAGGGTAATTCAATCAATCTTAAATGAAGTTAAACAGCAAGAGCAAGAGTAAGAGGTGAATGAGAGGAGAGGAAAATGAGTAGGTAGAGAAGGTGGGGGTGCTTTGGGGGGGGGGGAATTCAGGTTGTGTGTCGAGAGATATAGAGAAAAGTGGAGATAAAAAGTGGAGAGAAGGAAGGCGGTGGGAAATTAATCAGTAAGGAGACGAAAAGAATTAGCAAAGAAAATACATAAATCTCCTCTGCTTTCCTCCCTCCCTCAATCCCCCCCCCCTCACCTTGAGATGTGGGTGGTATGGTAAATGAATGAGAATAAATAAATTTCATTTCTTTAGAAGTTTTCCTTCGGTTTAGGGCATTTGCAAAGGCTCTGATTTCTCCTAAGTCTCTGTTGAATTGGGAAAAGTCTTGGACAAAGCACTAATTGTCAAAGATTGATATTAAGAAAGTGTCATCAAAATGCTCGTGTTTTAGCTGAAAGTCTAACGGCCAATATGAATGTCTATATGGTAGAAGGTCACTAATTCGGTACTCATCACTGCATCTTTAATAGCAGTGTAGTCCGCCAATTTGTCAAATATTGGCCTGGAAGTTTCAAGGACGTAGGTTTTGAATTCAACTCTAAGTTCCTTCATTCAACGCTATTTGCGATAAAATGGTAATGAGTCTAACTGAGGAAGAAACTTTTGATAGCTTTGGACTATATAATCTTTCATCGCGCTTACCAATCAATCTAAATCAAAGTAATGAGGCCACGCTTCCTATGCCGGTTTTAATATTTAGAGCTAATTTTTTAATAACATTTTAAAGCATTCGTTAATGCCTGTCGCGCTTTAAATTGATTTTCAATAGGTTATGTCTTGAGATTTTAGATGGCATACAAACTGAGCTATTGCAACAATCCAAATTGGTAATAATCAGAGAAGGGCGGTGGGTGGGATGGAAGAATCGTGTTTTCTAGAATGTTTAAGCTATTTGTCTGTAAGATCACTTATACAGCCAACAGCATAATGACTAATTATTCATACAATAAGAATATATTGCATAATTTTTTGATGCTATTCAATGAGAATTTATTACAAAGCAATCCCAAATAGCCATTTAATAATATGTGGAAATAGCTAATTATGGAAATGTTGATGTTTAGTCAAGATTTTTCTTATTTTGTGACTAGAAATTCCTCCAAACCTTTGAAATTCATTGATTAAATTAATTATTTTTAGTATATTGTTGTCACGCACTGACACACTTGTTTTTCTTCAGGACGAAATTTTCAGTCACGTCTTTCGACTTTTACTCCTCCGTCGACAAGAGATAGTTATAAATGCTCAACAAAATTAAAAAACGCTACTTCCATACGATTAGCGTGAAAGGTGAACCCGAGAGACCGGTAGCAATTGAGTTGGACTGACAGCAAATTGAGTTAATGCTAACTTTAACTGAAAATAAAATATTCTGTAACCGGATTGAAATGCTTCTGATACCCATTTAATTACGCGGAAGAAAGTACCACTGTATACTGATAGTAGTAAGGTGTTTTTTTTAATGGAGATCATTATTAGACCACCTTTATGAATTACAATCGGAACTGAAAAGTGGTTCCAATCTACCGCAGTTCAATATTAATGGATTTGTGCTCGATTTGGGTTGTGGGAATCCGAAAGCCATTTTATTTACATCCTAAGTGGAGGGGTGAAATCGCAAAACCTTACTGCATTAATCAAATAGGCAAGTAATTAGAGATTAGAAGAGATGGAAATATTGTTTCGTGTACAGTTTAGTGCAAGTTCTGTTATGGTTTGAAACGCATACCGCCATAGTTTGGCGATGACCACGATTTGAAAGCAAAACAGTCGCTTTTGTGGGTCAGGAATGCCAAAATACCGCATTACTACCATGACAACTTACTGTCCATAGCGGTGAGGGAAGTCTATAAATATAAATTCCACTTGACCTTGAGTGGCCAAGTTGTCAATAATTATAAAAAGCTTAACTAGGAGAGTATCAATGATTAATCCTTATTGTGAATGCACTAGTGTGAACATCCACCCATACCACGAAAATTGTGGGTAATATATACATACCACATGGAAAAAGTATTGCGAATTCGGGTTCCACGAGTTCAATACTCACCATTACACACACCCAGTGATTGCAATGCCCAACCATACAAGTTAAAATGTGTGGTACAAGTCAAATTTCTCACCGATTGGACTCATAAGTGCTTTCATTAATTCCAGACTAAGCTAGGAAAATATTATATTCTGGATTTTCGCATGCCAAAAAGAGGAAAACATGAGGTAGTTACGATTGGATACTCTCCATTTGCATTAAAATGACAAAATTAGAGTGCAATCATCAACAGAATCGTCATTTTTACCAGCAACTAGCTTAATAGTAGCAACAGCAGTATTTCAATGTAGTCAACGATGAGAAAGTAAACGAATTGTAACTGTTAAAATGTCATTTCTTTTACTCTACTGGCATTCTGGTTCATTTCTACTCAATCAAATCTTGTGACTCGCCATTTAGAAATTAAAAATAATTTTCTTACTGACTAATAAAATTTAATTCAACCTAATTAAAAATCACACAAATGTGCAAGAAATAATAATTTAATATCCATATTATTAAAAGTGATATTTCTAAAAAATGCATATATATATTCATTTATTTAATAACAACTATATTTTGTAATAAATTTCATATTTTACATTCTAACCAATTAAAATACACCTTTTCTTACTCCCATTTTGAAAGATTAGAGAAGTAAAGTATTTGACAAATTGAATTCAATTTATTTTAATGTAAATAAAACATTTTTTCTTTTTTAGTAATAAAGTTGCATAAATGATGATTTTCCATTCCTTAATATTGAAAAAATTAGCAATCAGACATCAAAGAAAGAATTAGAAGAGCGATGAAATACAAATGAAAATTGCAGTCATCAATTATGGAAATGTATTTGTGTTTGCAATCCTGATTGTTCAAATTTTAGATTGTAAGGCCTCGCTTGAATTTTTTCCCGCATTCACTTTTCATTCATACCATATATGATAAGAAATATTAATTATGCAATACTATTGTTTTGAAAGTATCACTTTCGTTGTTAAGGCGTTTAGTCACTTAAGTAAATTAAAGTTAACATTTCAGCTTAAGAGAAAATACAAAATCAACAATGAATTTGATTCATATGGATGATGATAATGAATGGGAAGTTAACTTAAAGGTCGGAGTAAATAAATAGCGTAATAGAAATCTAATTGCACCTTAGTTGCTGAAAAATTAAATGCTATTTTGTCAATGTAAGTAAATAGCAACACCTTCTTATTAGCAGATCAAGAAATTTGAGACAAATTGCTAGGCTAACAGGCACATCTTTATGAGAACTCAGTAAGGTAGATGACATTAGAATTTCACAGTTCGATTTCTTTGACCTTTGAGATCACGACTTGAGTTCAACATTACGTCAATGGTTGTAATGTAATAAGTAGATTTTGGTCAGCTATTTCGCTATCTTAATTGGTTCCTCTAACGCTCTACCGTCTCTATGTCTTCTAGGAAGCGTTTCACTTTCGAAGATCCAACTGTCTTCCCAGCAGGAGGCGTCCGATATTGGAACAAGGGTGACAGTATCGGACAAAGACAGTTTACCACCTCGCTCCATTGTCCAACTCACACCACAAAGTAACAATTCCCGAATTATGAGCACCAACTGCCAACAGGAATATCACTTGCGAGAATGCAAGCCATCTGAAGTAGGTCATGAAAGAATGAATGCATGGAAAATTGATTGTGCCAGCAGGAGTCTAGATATAGGGACTTTAACAGTCTAAAATGGTGTTTTTTAATGCTGTGAACATTCTCTCTGTAAATGTTTAAGGTCATGGATCTTAGTTACCTATCTACTCAATGGAATTTCAATCATTAATAAATAATACAAATCTACTAGGCATTATTTTTTAACGGAAATTATATTGTTAATCTGATAAGATATTGGCGGTTATTTCCATGTGGATTGCACGTTAATCAATACTGTTTAGTCTCACTAAAGCCACTTTATCTGCATGGCAGACAAATTCGAATGGAGAGCAGCACACGAGTTCTGCACTTGGACATTGAACGTCGGTCAATGTATACTGGGACCGTATCTCTCTCTCTCTCTTCACCTCCCTTAGATTGGCGGAACTAATCATAATGCTAATGCGTTAATTGGAGTTTACAATCCACAAATACGAACACTCTACATACAGGACATTAACCGTTTTGCTCATAAGTAGCTTAAGGATATGATTGGTGAATTCAAGGAAGTAAGAGTCAGAAATTAGGGAAATTTGTGGACAATTGGGAATGCGAAATGCGACTTCATTGTACTCGTGACAAAAGCTGAAACAGCACACTAATGAATAAATAATTATTTGCCATTTGTCAGGCTATTCGTATGTAATAACGATCCTGACTGAACCCCAGGGAGAAAGACAGTCGCCTCTTCGCCTCCTTTCCGATACATCAAAAGCTGTTAGGAAAGTGGCCTGTGAATGCCTTAACATCATTACAAAAATTGACGATTCCATTCCCTCCCCCACCCCCCCCCACCCACCCCCAACCCTAAAAGAAATCAAATTTCATGAAACAAGGAGGAAAGATAACGTAATTACATTAAAAGCAGTGAAACAAACATTTAATTCAATTTCCATCTGTTTTGCACTAATTTCGGGGTTTAATGAGGTGACTTAGCTCTTAGCGTAGGTGAATTCATTTATTATTAAATAACATTGCAAGGAAAAATATAATACTCGATGAAATAAAGTTTCAAATGTATGTATAAAAGTATATTTTTGCGAATTTTAGATGGGAACAAATTGCAGTGAGACCGAGGAAGGCTCGATTCCTATGACTGAAACATCAGGTATTGCAGCAGCTACGTATATGCTTATATTAAATATACTTTAAATACGTACGTAATATTATGCAATAAATTTACATTAGTAATCATTAAATAATTAAATTCAAAAATTTGCCCAAAATTTTGAAATTTGATTAAGCGTATTTCATTCAATTTCGCTACAGATAATAATAACGTTAGTTTTGAATTTGCCTGCTTTTACTTTCTTTCCGCTTGTATTTAAACTGTTGTTTAAAACAAGTCAAGCATTAATTTCTTTTTTTGTTGAACAATGCAAGAAATATATAATAGAATACCCCCTCCATTCTCATAGCATAGCGGCAACAGAAAAAATTACCAACTTTCATTAGAATAAAATATATATGATAATTTAAATATAAATTCTGGAAAGAATATCTTTGCTACTGTGTTATAGTGTGTCTTGGGTATTTGTGACTCTAAATACAATGCGGGCAAAGGATCTTTTGAAGGCACAACAACAGCAACCAGCACAAACAAACAGAGGAGAAGATAAAATTCTCCAAACTAACTTTTGCCCTAAAATAAACAACGATTGCTATTATAATTTAAGGACTCGAAGAATTTAATAATATGCTGGCAAAAATGAAGGATAGTTTAAATCTTGTCGTAACTAAAACCAATTCCAGACTTTATTTGGCATGTGATGGGTATCCATTATGGGTACTTAAAATAGCCCTGATTAAAAGTAAAGTTAATTTTTGAATAAGAAAATGGGGTTTGAATTCAGTCATGGAAAGTTTTGTTCACTGTTCAGCCAAAATTTCATTTATCTAATCGATGACTAAAAACCTAGACCGGTCAATTTTATCGATATGCAGTGCAATAGGGTTTTATACTAATGATATAAGTTCCAAAATTTAACTAATCATTGTTTATTCACGTAGATTTTGGAAATATTTATACTGATCAAAAGTATTATCTATTTATTGAATCGTATCTGCTTAAAATTCTAAGCTAAAGGCTCTGAGGATAGTATAGTTACGAATAGTAAAAGACTTGTTATATTTTGCTGGTGTTGAAATTGCTTACTATAATGCGATTTATTTGTGTTGCTATTTAGGATCGAATACACAGACTATGCCAATACACCTAACTCAAAACCGAATGTTTCAAGCTCCTGTTTTCGATCGATCTACAAATTTTATCACCAAGTATGCGACCTCACCATTGTATGCTCCAATTCACCCTGACAACGCCATTCTCCTAAAAGATGTCTCCCCTAGACATCATAGGGCCGTGTTAACCAGTCAAAATGCCAATGGAGGGGAGCAATATGAATACGGTTTCCTACCTACAGCTCTGGTACTCTCGGAAATAAATGACACCTACACAGCTCTAAGTGAATCAACCCAACGTAAACGGTCTGCTGGCAATCCACAGGCGCTTGAATTGAATGAAATTTAAGCTATCTAAACAAATCATATCGGTCACTATGTTTTATACTGCACTCAGAGAAGCATATACATAAATTTGAGCAATAAATAGACATTGATATGATAAAAATGGTGTTTTTAATTATGAAAGCGGTTTATTTTACTTGCTGCCTGTGGTGGTAATATTTATTTATTTCAAATGGCAGGCGTTTTGATAGCTATCATTAGCCCTTTAGCTGACTTCGGGCTTCACAGAGAGGAGGAACATCAAAGTGATAAAAATTCAAGAGGTGGGGACAGAATAATGATTCACAGATGTAACAGAGACAGACAAAAAGGCAGAGAAAAGGTAAGGTGAGAACTGTGAAAGTGATCGAATATGACATAGAGTGGGGTGATGGTAGTTTGAAGTGAGAAGTCAACTGCTAGTTAATAGACTTTTTTGCCGTATGAGTTTACGTTGCCCAGGGTGTACCACGTGGAGGTAAGTCTATCGCACGCCCCTTGGTGGTAATATAAAAATGGTAAAAATGTTTTTTGCAAATTAGCATGGATTGTGGAAATGTAAGTTTTAATAAATTCTAATGGCCTGATTATACGTCCCCCGGATTTCCACTGTCTCAAGTGGTAAATCTTTCATCAATGTTAATTTGGTGATCATTCTTGTCTAGAAGCCTTTCCGTTATTCCTCAGTAAGGCAAATTTGCAGGAAGGCAGGAAGTAATGGGAAATTTTTTCTCTGTATGATTAGCTGGCATGGGCACCAATGAGTTAAGAGTTTTGAAGAATTTCTAACAGGGGAAGAGTGCTGTTTAGGTACTTAACCTCTTAAAATTGCAGCGATATTTTTGCAAATATCAATTGGGTCATTAATGGGATGATTCCCCAATTTACCATGCCGAGTAAATAGCGTGGTTTACAAAAGTTGAGATCAGTTGAAATTGTCTTCAATGGTTTCGTGATCAATATATTCTGATTATACATCAAATTATATATATATATATATATATATATATATATGCGAATATTTTGATTACAGGTGGTTATTTACATGAAAATACGGTTGTAATTGATACTTAACGATGAAGATTGAAATAAAAGCCAGTCTCATTCGCCTAAAATTGAAGAAAAGAGCCCAGTATGGATAACTAAACCTGGTGAATGTATTTAAAATGGTAGGTTTGTGGGCTTGAATGGCTGAATACCGGTTAATTCTAAACCTTTACTTGCCAGTCATGTCTTGGCTCAATGGTTGGCTGGTCAATGACAAAATTGGTCAAATTCGCAGCATAAAATTCATATAGAGTTTCTGATCTAGACAGGAGGAGAAAGAGTTTTCAATATACTATCCAGTAAATAATGAGGAGATCGAAATTGATTTTTTCCCCTTTTAAAACAAGATGCGAAGGCCGAGAGAGCTAATAAAGATGACCTCCATAGCTTGTGCTAATCGTGAGTGTACTAATGGTTCGAGTAAAAGAACCATTTTCATAATTTTATCTTTAGGGCCAATCGAAACTTCTCCATCAAGAAAATGAAAATCCCTTTTGCCAAAAGCTGCCATGTAAATAAGCCATTTTCATTCCTTGGTATTTTCATCGACCTCTAAACTAACAAGCAAACGTCATTTCTCATGAACTGGATTAACGATAATTTGAATCCCTGAATATGTAGCGCTACCTGTAGAAAACATCGCCTCAATTATCGACCAACTAAGCAACCAACAATTTATCACCCATTCAATCCTATAAAAG